GTACAAACTCTAAGACTATGTGCCATATTTCTAGAGAGAAGAGCGGCACCACCCCAGGAGGGATGAAGACCATCTCTTTTCAACAGGTCAGGTCTGCCCCAAAAACTCGTCCAATTGTCTATGAAACCTATGTTATTTGTGTCATGTGACATAAAAGACACTGTATGGGAGTTCAGGGTTTTCATCTTGAAGAATAATGTTCTTTTTAGCAGCATCATATGACCCCTTTAAAATAAATATATACTAAAAGCAAACAAACAATGTACATGAAATATGAACAGAAAACAAAGTAAACTAGTAATTTCAAAGTTTTAGTTGTCTTTCCTTGCCATGTACAAATAATTTTTTCAGTTATTTTCTGCAGTGTTTTAGCAAAAGTATTAAACTATTTTGCTGCTGATGGTGTTATATGCATGTATATCTTTGAATATTCATTAGGCTTGTTTGAGCTGCGCCTCGCCTCGCCTGAAATGATGGCGAGAGTAGGCGGCTGCAGTGAGGGGAGGAGTGAAATAAGCGCAGGCAAGACGGACAGTTCTGACCTCACGAAGTGGAACAGATACCTACGAGGTCAAAGACAGATATCGCGTTATTCTCACTCATGTGCTGTGTTGCTAATAAACATGATATAATTTCAGTTCTGTTGCTTTTATATGAAAATAAATATGATGAACAGGACACTCAAAGTGCTTGCTATTTAATTCCATACAAAAGGTGTATTTATCATCCATTTTTACTTTAATACAAACATGTATTTTAGATTTTTATGGAAATATGATCATGCTTTTGATCAGCGGAGTTGGTGGAGAGCAACTGCGCTCGACTGCACAATCCGACACAGCCGCCTCGCCGTCGCAAGAGTTTTTTGGCACACGTCAGCATGACATCAGAGCAAGTCGGACGTAACTCGGACACTTTTCTAACCGGCATGCATCTCGTGGGGATCACCGGTGATCGGTTCTGCGCAGATTTTGCTCATCTCAAACAAGCCTTATTATGGTGAATGACGTCAAGTTGACCATTCCAAAATGGCAGACGTATCTGGAGCGGTCGAATAGGGCATCTATACATATCTATGGGTATTACCCCCTGCATATTTTATTTGTGCGTGACATGATTTACACACAGCGTGTGTTTTCTCCAGGTTGTGCTTACCAGGTTGTGCATAAAAGCCGAAATGTGCCCAGATGTCGGCTTTTAAAGTAGTTGGAGCATTTTTTATTACTCGCTTGCGTCTCGCCTCCCTCCGCCATTGTATGCTACCGCGACAAAACACGCATGCGACAAATGACGTCAGAAAAGCATCAGTAGGTTATAATCGGTTATGGTCTATTGAACCGATACCGAATCGTCCTCGTCTGCATCGCGATGCATCGTAGAAACTATTAATTTTGACACCCCTATAAATGAGTATGACTAATTGAGTATTCAGTATTGAGCATTCATGAATATGAGTATTGGGGAGTACATACATGGCCAACACAAACAAAGACAAAGATATGTGCTCAAACACAAGACAAACAGATAGGCCTACACGAAACAAAGACAAAATGGATCAGACTGCCAATGCTAGTTATGTAGTACATTTTCTTTATCTCTGCATCTAAATAGGAAAGGTATCAGTTTTCATGTGCAGATTTTTGATTGTCTTTTTTACTGCAATCAAAGATGTGATTTAGCACTGAAAGCTGAGTAGCATTAATCATAGTGGGTTTTTAAGGGTGCATACTGATATGTAGAGAACAATGTAATATAAATAAACACTTTCTCTCCCCCCCCCCTTTTCAGAAAAGGTGACTATGAGGACTGAGACAGGGCCTGGGACTGAGGTGCCACCCCAACATAAGGGTACTGAAGTTACCATTACAGAGTCAGCCTCAGATGGTAAAATGGCGAAAGAGGTAGGGAATTGTTTTAAATGTCCAACTAATATTTTTCGACATAAAGCCAAACATTTTTAATTCATAGTTTTCAGTCACATGACTGGCTCGAAGACCTGGCGGGCAAAACATCCATAGAACTGCAGCACAAGCCTGTCAATTTTATATCTATGCAATGCGCTAAATGGTTAAGTGTTTTCTTTATAATGGTTTTCTATGGGAAAACAATTAATATTAAACATTGCGCATTGCATTTATATTCTGGGTACATCTGCTTGCCTGTACAAAGTATGCATCATCAATAAGGTGTATACTGAATTTGGCCTTTAAATATCACTGTCTTACTACATTACTACTTAATAAAAACCTTGTAAAAATAACAGGCGGTCAGTGGAGGAAAGCCTTGTTTTGCCCTCCAAGGGGGGGTTCCTGTAAGGGTGTGACGTCGCGTGAAAACTATGGATTGGTGTAACTTTCCAGAGATAGTAGCAAGTCTCATTAAAGTTCAAATTTATTTATTTATTTATTTTTGACAACTTGTCCACCAAATCAAAGTTAGTGTAGTACAACCAACATGCAGGAAGCCATTTGACAAGAAAACCACAAGACAGATGGCATGAGAAAGAGGATCCATTCCATGACTGTGTCTAACTGAAAAGAAAGAAAGAAAGAAAGAAAGAAAGAAAGAAAATATTTTGGTGATTAACAGTTGTGAAAAATTATAATGTAATATAAACCGATATAATGTAATATAAACTGATAATATAAACTGATTATAGGATATCAAGCCTCATGACGATTCTAGAGATGTACAAGATGCATCAGACAGAACAACATCTGACAAGAGCCCAAGATCCCCTCAGAAAGGCTCCAAATGCTCCAAGACTGTTCCCTTTAAAGTCACACTTTTGGATAGATCTATTTATGAAGAGAACATTGAGGTAAGTGAAGAGATGTTTCAGTGGTGTCCACATGGCAATTGTCTTTATGCCTCATGTGAAGCACTAAGAACACTTTAATAAACTCATAAATGAACTCTTTTTTTCCACTGACTGTAGGCTTTGACATACAGTACCTGGAAACTTTTCTAAATTAAACTACCATAGGTTATTATAAAAATACATTTCCCTCACAGTCATGTTTTAGTATGTACAAACCCCATTTCCAAAAAGGAAAAAAAAAACATTTTGGAAAATGCAATAAAAACAAGAATCTTAGATTTTGAATCTTTCTCTCTATTCTCTTGAACCTTTATTTAACTGACAAAAGAACAAAAAGTACATATTTACAATGTTTCCACTGAACAAAGTAATTGTGCTTTGTAAATATGAACACATTTTGAGTCTGTCTTCAACACACTCAAAAAAGTTGGAACATATCTCATTTATTTATACAGTATAGTGCTTTATACAGTACAGATTGTTTCAAAGCAGCTTCACAGTATTAAACAGGAAAATAACAGAATCAGTGATCAATGAGTGTGTTGCAGGCATCAAATTCAGAATTTGTTGATAATTAGAAAATGTAATTAAGGTGGTCTGTGAAAATACTGCAAATCTAAATTTGTCAGTTGAATAAAGGTTCAAGCGAATTAACAAATCACAGATTTTTGTTTTTATTGCATTTTCCAAAATGTTACAACTTTTTTTCTGGAAATGAGCTTTGTATCTATATACCACCAAAAATCTTCAGCAATATTTTGTAGCTAAATATAATAGTGCCATAGTACAGCTACTGTTACTAGAGTTAAATCATGGTTAGCTTTGCAGTTTGCAAAGGGAAAGGTAGCTGGTATTTTGTAACTCTGAATGTGGGGATGCATCTACTCCCAGGAATGGCTATTATAGTTCTAGGACCATGAGTTTGTATCCCACTCTTACAGAATGTTGCCCACTCCTTCATATTCTTTCATTTTAAATTTCATAGCATCAGCACTAACACGGAAATATGTTTTATATAGCTCTGTATTGCTAGTGAATATGCCAGAGAAGCATGTAATGCATTTTATTGTAATGCATTACAATAAAACTGCATCTGTGATGCATTAAAATAAACAGCATCTTAGGTGAGATCTTGCATAGAAAGAAACATAGAAAGACTGTAAATGTGTGTAGCAGGGTTTGTAGCCTAACAGTATGCAGGAATGTGTGATAAAACAGGTAACTTAAATGCAATGTTTGGATGCTTTGGATAAAAGCGTCTGCCTAATGCATAAGTCTAACTGTAAATATTTTCCTTAACAAAACCCCTTAAAGAAACTATAGTGATAAAAATCAAGGTTCAGTGTTCCAATTTTCCCCTTGTTTCTCATCCACTGTGGGTGGGTGTTGATGCAAGCTTGACGCGTGCAGAGAAGAATAAATAGATCAAGAGGCTTGTTGAAGATTCAAAACAATAACTTAAAGTCCCCATGAAATCAAAATTGAAGTTTTTTGGCTTTTAGGATGATTATGTTAGCCTTAAGGTTATATATAAGCTAGTGTGCTCCAAAACAATGACACAATTCGTATTTATTAGTTATAAGCATTCAAAACTTACAGTCTCTCACTTCCGCCAGTGTGGATCAACAATTTTGATGACATCACCCTGCACTTCAGCTTTTCATCAAACTTTCTGTCCAATCCAATGCTCTCTAGAATCCAAAGTGTCCCGCCCCCTACACCCCACACCGTTTGCTTATGGCAGAGTATGGCAGTTGCCATACCCTAGCATTCAGAGTTCAGAAAAAACATCCTGATGATGTTCGTTAAAGATAATCCAAATACTTTTAGGAGAACAGACCTGAGCATTGCTAGGTAGAGGTTCCTAATAGTGACAATTCATGCAGCGCGGTGCGTCACGATGAGCGCTGCTGTTGTGATAACGGCGACTTCTCTGATTGGATCCCACTTCAGGATTGTAGTTAGCGTAGTTTTTACTTGTGTTTTGGTGATTAAAATGTTTTTTTTTTTTTAATTAACATTATTTAACAACGTATAAATCATAATGGCTGATTTTACAAAATCATGTAAATGTATACATGTATTATTGCAAATGGCCACAGGGTATTATGCCATACACTAGGCTTACATGAAATGCCGCCACTGCCCTAAATAAATGCTGAAGCTGCAGCTGAAACCGTAATATGTAATTGCATAATAGTCATGGATCATGCTGAATCTCATTCAGATCACATTTAAAAGCATAATATCAAAATTAATAATTATATTATTCGATGATGTAATTGTTTTAAACATCAGAAGTGAAAAAGTTTTCAAAATCTATATAACTTCCTGCTCATGTGATCCGATGATGTCACACCAGTTGTAATATCTTCACACAATCCTGTCACACATCATACATGACTTGGATTTTGGAAATATGATTTTCAATTTTTGGTGAATTTTTGAAATATTCAAGTACATATTCCTGCTCAAGTGACCCGATGATATCACACCTGTCATGGTACTGGAGAATGATGAGGCGAGGACTCAAATGCAGGAGAAAATTGGTACTTTTTAATAATAAAATGAAACAAAACAAACCAAAACTTTCCCGAGGGGGAAAAACAGGCAGGCTAGGAACAAGGCACAACACTGCAAGGCAGGGAACAGCAACACGGGTAGACATAGCACACACCACATGTACAACTGACATAAAACAACGGATCAGCACAGGACTGCAGACACCAGGAGAATAAATAGGGAAACAAACGAGGTGGGTAACGAGGGAGACACAGGTGGAGCAACTTAAACAATAATGAGGTGACAAGATGGGTGGGGTCAGACAATAGACAGGAGAGAGCACATGGCACCAAACAAACACAACACAAGCCATGTGCTCACAAAAAAACCACAGGTGTGCCCTCTGGTGGCCGTCTTGGGCACTCCAGCTGCAGACTGTGACAACACCAGTTGTGATATCTTCACACAATCCTGTCACACATCATACCTTAATAAATAAATTGGATAAAGAACTGTATCAATAAGCCCTCATCTATATGGAATCTGATCCCTAATGTTATTTTTTTTCCAAACTAGGTGGTTTAAATTTCTTATTAATATGTAATTATAGCATTATGAAAGTCCCTATCAAATTGTCACTTTTTGTAGACAAATGTTATTAGCTTGGTCCCTCATTTTTAAACACAATTTTACACCTCACTCTTATCTAATCTGGAATAATAAGAATCTACTGTATAATCACAAAACTATTTTCTTTGATAACTGGTTTAAAATTTTTATTATTTTTGTGTCTCAACTTTTCAATCAAAACGGTTCATCTGTATGAGTTCTTATATAAGCATGAAATTCCTGTTATTCCAAAAGAGTTACCAATTGTTGCTGATGCAGTGCCACATGTTGTTCTCATGCTTTTTAAAGATCTTTCTTTTCCAATCTCTTGTCACTCAGTGGAACAATGGAAAACATTTGTAGGTAAACAGTGTCTTTCATCATCTAAAAGAAAACTAACAAAAAAAACAATACGAAAATTAGAGTTTTGTATCAGGAGGATTCTGTTTCTGTGCCTTATGTAATCTCTAACTGGAATGGTTTTGTAAGTGATATTCCCTGGAAGAAAGTTTGGTCATTACCTCACAAATACCTGATAACTAACAAAGTTACATTTAAGTTGATTCACAGATTTTATCCAGATAAGTGCTCTCTTAAAAGATTTAAGAATGATATTAATACCAACTGTTCTTTCTTTTTTAGAGAACCCTGAAACCTCTTTACATTTATTTTGGAATTGCTCTTATACACTGACATTTTTTTTGTATAGAAATGCAAATTTTGGTTTTCATGATTGTGAAAGGGAAAGTGATATTTATTTTAGAAACCTTATTTTCCTGTTAGCTAAATATCATATTCATAAATGTAAATTTTCTAAATGCAAGCTTTTTTTTAAGATTTAAACTTGAAATGAATGTATTTTGAATCTATTGAGTTCTCTACAAACTTAATAGCAATGAGAACAATGGCTTTGTTGAAGGACTTGGCACTTCATCTGGACTGAAAGACTGAAGGACCCTGGATTGTTATTATTGTTGTCCTGACACACATCATACACGAAATGGATTTTGGAAATATGATTTCACATATTTTTTCATATATTCAAATCTGTACAACTTCCTAATCATGTGACCTTATGTTGCCACACCCACTGAATTATATTCATAAACCTTCCACACATAAATCTTCCACACATTGTGCATTCATATTTTTTTTTCTTTTGAATATATATTTGTTGTTTTTAGACTTTTTTACTTCTTGATCATGTGACCTGATATTGTTACACAAGGCCGGTTTATATTTACAAACATTTCTCATACAAAAATATTTACATTACATTATGTGCCTACCAAACATTTAAGTAGTACTATAGTCATGTGTAATTTGGTGGGTCCAGTCCTCGATAACTCAGAATAACACCACAATAACATCACAACTTTCCTTTTCTAGGCACCCCGTCCTGTCAGGGGTGGCATATCCTTTTAAACCATGTCCTTCCCCTCTCACCTATAGAAGTAGACAACTCACAAAAATAAACTACATTAACAATAATATAACAAAAAGATTAAGCAAACAAACTTACAAAACTTAAATAAGCATGACTCCTACAGGAACAGTTCCCCCAAAAATAAAAGTTTTGCAATTCGGAGTTGAAACAGTCAGTAATACAGTATATATATATATATATATATATATATATAAATAAAGAAATTTACAAACAAAATACATTTGAGAAATACAAAATAAATAATTTAGCCTAATAAAAATTATAGCCTACAATTGTCAGGGATTCAATGAGAGAGAACTCAAATGCGGAATGAGTGTTCATGGGTTTATTAACAATACTGCTGACAAGTCAAGAGAAGGTGAGGAGGGGGTGAACACAGTCCAAACAATAAGCAAGAAAGAGGCTCAAAGACAGGCCAGGCTGAGAGAGAGGTCACTGAGTCCAGCCCTGGATGACAGTAGGCCGGTGAGCAGTAATGGCAGTGCAGAGGGAGGCCAGAGGTTAGCAGCGATGGCCTGACAGGAACGTGAGCAGTAATGGCAGTGCAGAGGGAGGCCAGAGGTTAGCAGCGATGGCCTGACAGGAACGTGAGCAGTAATGGCAGTGCAGAGGGAGGCCAGAGGTTAGCAGCGATGGCCTGACAGGAACGTGAGCAGTAATGGCAGTGCAGAGC